CAATTGGGGGCAACAGAAAGAAAACTCCCCATGGACCAATGGTCCTGACATTGTCCAGGCACCAAGAGGCTGAAATCAAGCTTGGGAGAAAGGCCCTGCCTCCCTCATGTGGCTCCCCTCATCCACGTCTCCCTTTAGCTGCTAATCCCCACCAGCACCAAAACCACCTCATTCTTGTCCTCTGGCAGAGACAACCAAATATCTCCAGCACTTTGTTCCAACAGGGAGGGTTTTCCCCTCTTCAAGACATCATCTTTGGTAAACCCTCACACAGAAGAAGGATGCTCACAAGTTTTGTGTCTCCAAGACACATCCCTCTTAATTCCCTACAAAAGCACTGGGAAGAGAAATGGTTTATGACACAAAGTTGGCTATAAATAACTGTACAGCCATGAGGTCCTCAAATAAAACTTGAAGAAAACCTCAACATTGCTGCACATGCAAATTGCAGAAAAATACAATGAGGTTGATTCCTGACTGCTGTGGGGTTCAGGAATTTGACAGTCTCTGATAGAGCTGAACTCTCCCACCTGCCCTTGGGAGCACAGCAGACTCCAACAGATGTAAGACTAGAACTACACAGCACACAGTAATCTGCCTGCCATCGAGATGAAACAAGGAGAAAGAAGAAAGTTGAAGTTCAGTGTAATTACACAGGATTTGTCAGGTTCATCCACGAGCACACTGGGGCTGGATCAGCAGCTGTACTGATTGACAGTGCTCACTGGAGATAAGAGCACTGAGTTAGTCTACAGCAGCTGCAGACATGGCTCTGCTGAATGCTCCTGACTCATTTCTTGCACTGACATTGTCTTTAGGGTGCTGAGGAAGAGCTCAGAGCCTGCATTTGTGCAGTCCCTCGTGCCAGCAACACGGGGATGTGCATCCTGAAATACACACCCAGCCCTGCAGCAGCACAGGCTGGCTTAGAAATGCAGTTTTATTTCTGATAAATCCCCTCATTCCTCTCTAACAGTCAATTTGCCTCGAATATTAAACCCCACAGCATCTCAGGAAACTAGGATAACTAGGAAAAAGAAAAGGCTGCTACTCTTATAAAGAAATAACATCCACAAACCAACCAGCTTTTCTCACAGTCCTAATAAGAAAAATGAGTTTACCTGATCGAGTGAAGTGCATTTTTTCACTTGTTTCATCGATAAAATCATCATTGACTTTTTCTTGGCCTGCAAAGGCCAAACACAAATGATGTGGTGGATCATAGCAGAGACAATCCTTCAGGTCAGTCAGGTTAGAGTTAAACCCCAGCTGCATTTGGGAAGGAATTAGAACAGAGACTGTGCACCTTTAAAAAGGTGGTGTGATTTTCAGCATCCAGTTTTGATGTAGCAATCCAGGTTTCTTGACACGCCTGTTTTCCTAACACTGGGCAGTGAGATGGAAAGGAAAACTTGGAAAGAAATCTGCAGAGTGATGTGTCTTTGATTTGCATACCACCAATTGCTGTGGTGGGGAGGGAGTTGAAGCCTTCTTCCCCTCTCCTCACAGTCTGAGAAAAGATAATAGGACAAACCCTTTATTATTTTTAAGAGAAGCTGTCAAGATGAAAAAATGAAAACCTCAAAAAAAGGCTGATCTACAGCATTACTTAAAGACGGTTTTGTTGAGAAAAACTGACCGAATGATTTACGAAAGGCTTTTAACAGGGCAGTCTTTGGATTACAGTGAAGATGAAAAATAAATGAAAATCTATTTCAAGTTTACTTTAGCCCAGTCATTTGACAGATGAGGGCAAAACCTGGCAAGAACACAAGTTTTAATCTTCAGATGTAGTGACTTTATTTGCAGTTTTGCCGATTAAAGTTTTCTCAGGGCAAAATAAGAGCTTTTCAGAGCATTTCCAGATGTTTTCTGTAGAAAATACTTTTATTTTTTTTTTCACATGAAGCTCCCGTGAAAGGCACATGAGTAAAAAGACCAAAGATGTTTCTGCTCATGGCACAAAGCTCACATAGACATTGTCCTGGCTGTGCTGCAAATGGTGTGTCCACCACCTTCTTCCTTTCCCAATTGTCCTTTCGAGCCTCACTCTTGACACTCAGCCCTCCTAATTAATTACTGGATTAACCAGCCCAGTATCAAGATGCTCATGGCTGGAGGTGGATCTTGGAGCAGGGGCCCATTCTCAGTATGCCCAGCCTGGCATATTTCTGCCTGGCCAGATGGGTCCACCATCTGCTCCTGTTTGGAGGAAAACTTCCTGGAATTGGGGTTTTCCTCTTAACCTTTGTTTGTACAATCCTTTGCTTCCTCTTTCTAGTCTTTTTTGGTTTTTTTTTTTCTTTTTTTTGCCCTTTCACCAAAATCACCTGAAGCACATCAGAGTCAGATTTGAGAACCAGAGTGGCAGCTCCTCACAGCTTTGGTGCACACCTGGCACGAGATGAGCCCTGCTCTGCACAAAGGCCACAGGTCTGGAGCAGCCTCAGCACAGCAAAGGGCCACTTTGTGGGAAAGCAGGAACACAGCAGAAATTGTTTCTGGTCTATAGGCTTCAGAGAGTGTAGCAAAATCGATCCTAACACCAGGAGTCAAAGGTAGCCTTAGCTCAAGCTGTTAGGGCATGCTATATTATTTTTTTGAGTATAGAATTTATAGATTGAGACAAGCAGTTGATCTCTTCGAGACAAGTAAAAAAAAATAAAGATGGAAAAATGGAGAACTGATACGTAATCTTATGAAAATCTGCCACAATTCTATATTTATGATAAGCCTATCCAGCACATCCTGCTCAAAGTCTTACAGAAAATGTGTTGCTAACTACCAGGGAATCATTGATTTTTTAATTTGTCCCCTCATAGTGCTATTGCTTATGTGTGGTAGAAGCCATAACCTGGAAAAGAGGGGTAAAATTAAAAAAAAATAATAAAAAAATCAATATTATCATTATCAAGTGGTGACTACAGTTTACAGCAGCAATAATCTCCTTTGAAACAGCTTGCAGAAGTACCAGTTGTCATCTACATAAAGTATTACTGGTTTGGCCAAGTTCATAAATGCAGATATTATTTCATGTTTTGGTCATTTAGATTTGGTGACCATCAATATTGCCCAAACCTCACATCTAAACCATATTTGGCCAAGAGCTGCAGTGTTTGCTGTTGGCATTCTCTTTTCATTACTGCTGAGAGTGATTCATTCCCTCATTAAGAGCAACTAATTTTTAACATCCTGTGCTGTTTCTTGCATTGTGTATTAGTGGAGTGCTCAGATGTGCCCCCAGTCACTAAGTTCTGTGCTTCCTCCAGTAATGCCTGAAGTTATGAGATCATTTGTCACTGGTTCTCCACACACACGCACCTTCTCCCCAGCCAGGCAGCTCCTGCACGGTGATGCTTTCTCTCCATACAGTTTTCTGAGCATCTTTTTCCCATGTTGAAAGCTCAGTTCTGAGGTGCCACACCAGATCAGGGGGGTCTTCAGCAGGACTGAATCTCCAAGGCACAGAGCAGCTCTGCTCACACAAAGTTTACTGTGCCAAAACAGAAATATCCTTATTTATCCAATCACTGGCAAATGCAAATGTAACCAGTCAGAGCTTCAGGCCTTCCCCTGTGTGCCTTGGAGAAAACCTGCACAGTTAATTTGATTCACAGGTCTGTGGCATCTTGGAGGTACTTTTGGGTTTTAACTTATTTTAAAAGCTCCATTTGAAGGACACAGGCATGCAGGTCACAAGTGTTGAATACATAGAGAAGAGGCAGGTGTTGGTCTTCTAAAATGTTCTCTGTCTTCTCATAAATGAGAATTCATAACTGAATGTGTTTGCATCTACATTTATATCAGAAAGGATGAATGATGATTTGGTTAGGAAAATGATTAGGTCTGTGATTATTAATATACTGAAATCATAAAGGCAGTAGTTTTCTATGTTACCATGATATCCAAAACTCTCACTGAGGAAACAAGAGCTGATTTACAGGCTTTCATTGTATCAGAATGTAGTGCTAATCTCTTTGCTGAAGTCCTAATCTATCATTAAGTGCTTTTTAAAGCATGTATGAAATGATAAATACGAAACTTTGCATGTTAGAACACCATCTGTTTATCTTTCTTCCAAGGACCAGAAGTGCTGCTGACCTGAGATTCCAGTCCCTTCTTGGAGATCTCACAGGTGGAACTAATTGGATGTAGAAGGAGCTGTCACTCCTGCCCTCCCCTTGCTCCCATCAAAAGGCCACCCTGCCTGCCAATCCAACTGCTGAGCTTCTATTTTTATCCTTTCATCTTTTCTGATATTGACTTAAAGCCTGTAATTTGTTACACCTGGAGCTGCATCTATTAAAGTTAAGGTCTAAGAAACATGCCAAGGTCCACCCACGTAGAACCTATCACTTGTGCAGAAAGTGTTTCAGAGTCTTCCAAGTTAACATTAAATACATTCCAGATGCACAGTTTCTCCAGGTAGATGGGTCAGGCACCTGCCACTCACGTTTGCAGAGGCAGGGCTTAACATCAAGTTCTGCTGCAGCAGTTTTGATTACTACAAGCTAAAAGCAATATAAAATATTACCACAAGATTTTTTCTTTCCCTAGAGCAATACACAAAACCCTAATGAAATTGCATTTATAATATAACCTCAATAAAAATCTGAATAATGCTTGTTCCTATGTCACAGCTTTCAAGAGAAAGAGCCCATATTGCATTTGAGACCGTGTGGAGCTGCATAGAATAAGCAAATACAGTGTGTGCCTTAAACTGTGACTATCAGGAGCCTTTAATCATTTAAGAGTTGTATGGAATAAGTACATACAGTGTGCCTTAAACTGTGACTATCAGGAGCCTTTAATCATTTAAGAGTTGTATGGAATAAGTACATACAGTGTGTGTCTTAAACTGTGACTATCAGGAGCTTTTACTCATTTAAGAGTTGTGTAGAATAAGTACATACAGCATGTCTTAAACAGTATGACTAAGAGCAGCTTTTAATGATTTAAGAAATAAAAATTTAAACTTATTTGTTTCTTGTCCTTAAAAGGAGCATTATTCTGAACCCAGCCTCTCTCCAGAATCACCTACACCAAGCTGCTTGCTCTTGGTGCTTATGGAGAGATTCTGAAGCTGCAAATCACACTGCTGGTGGCTCTTGAATGGATTCTCTCCATCCCTTTCATTCCAGCTCTCAGTAGTGAGGCTGTCATCCTAGATCCAGGCATTTCCAGAAGCAGTGGGGGTTTTGGGCTGGCTTTGTGCACATGATCAAATCCTCCTGGTTGTCATAACATGAATAATCCTAATTACATCCCTAGTTGTGATTAGGAAAATGCTTGTAGGAGCATTCACTCATTCTTGGGCACTGGTGTGAGCCCTGATCAGGTCCCAGAGCTGTGCTGGATAAAAGTTACCCCCACACAAGCACCTTCCTCTCCCTGGTTTCTCTGAAACCCTGGGCAGATGCTCAGATGTGCTCCAAATGGAGGGTGGAGAGAGAGGGAGAAAAAAAAAAAAAGAGAGAAAAAAATAATCAAGATCTCAGGGTACACTGTGGTATGCTGCAAAATTTAGCTGTGTGCAGCTGAAGAGATTGCTGGTGTGAATGGGAACTGCTGGCAGGAGGAAAGCCTGCAAGAGGAAGCTCTGCTTGTGTGCTTCCACTGCTGCTGCCAAAAAAACCTCAAAGTTTCACCATGCAACAGAAGTTTTTAACCACCTCAGATGCTTAAATGAAAGAGAAATGCATGAGGAAAAGCAGCAGTGACTTGCTATGGATCACCATTGCTGCTAACGTTAGACACTTACAAGGGACTTTCAGCTGAAGACCACAAGGCATATCACAAAATATTTCACAAATCATTAGGTAACTAATGGCAGAGCAGCCAGTGTGAATTGGACAAGAGACTGAAGGGGTCACTTTGCTCATCCTTTAAGATGGATGCTGGTGGTGCAGCTCTGAAGCCACTAAAACAGCAGCAAAACAGCGCAGGGAGAGGAAGAAGACTTGATCCAGGCAGACAAGCAGGCTTGCAGAGAGGATTTGGGAAGATGAACTTCAATTTTCCACATGGGACTTCTGCCAAAGACTCCAGGACAAGGACTTTTCCTTCAGCAGGACACACACAGAGATTATGCCAAAGTAATCACCCCTGGCTTTCACTCAACAGTACAGACAGAAGAAATCGTCCCCCAAGCAAGAAACACAAAACTTTTTCTAAATTTCTTAAGAAATGCAGTTTCAGATACATCTGGAATATTTCCCCTGACCATGAACCCACCCAACCTTTGTTCTTTAATCTCAAAACACGGCCCACTATTCTCAGCTCACTGTTCAGACAAAGCTGTTTCCAAGCTAAGGAAGAGAAACACTTTGTTGAAAGAGAATAAAGTGTTGTGATTGTTATCAGTGAGACGTAAAAGGAGATCTGGGAACTGTCTCTTCTTCCTGAAATCTTGTTGGTGTGCTGATTCAGAGAGAAATTGTCATCTACTGAATTATCAACAGGTGAGGCTCACTGCCCAGCCAGGTGTTCCAGAGCTCTGTTAGGACCATATGTTGCTTTGTGACAGGTGGGGAATCCTGCCTGGAATACTTCCAAACCCCCAAATTCTCCAGTATCCCAACAGATGATGTAAAAAAGGGGGATTTGTTTGGGGTGCTGGCAAGGAAAGGAGGATTTTCCCTTTAAGCCAGATTGAAAATGTTTAAAAATAGTCACAATAATAAATGGGATTTTTTTTTTTTCAAAATATGCTTTCAAAGACTGAGCTTTCTTGAGAAGTAATACAAATACATGGGCATATTTGAGAAGATGATATGAACAGAGAAGCTGTTCATAAATATGATTTCAAAAATGAACATAAACTTGTGGTTGGTGTCACTGCAGATAAGGAATCAGTAAATTTACTACATCAGCAGGCAGGAGGGAACACTGTCAGCCTTTTTTCCCCACATTGAGTAGCTTTCAGGAAACTAGATGATTTTCAAGGAGATGATGTATTTTGTAAAGGAGAGGAACATTCTGACAGACTGACTCCAGCGTGGTTCCAAAAGCAGTGACTGTATCAGTACTCAGAGTTTAGCCTAGTTTAACATAGTGTTATAGCAACTGTGCAGAGCTGCTTCTGCAGATTGTGTTAAACTAAGCTTAGCACCACTTCTGTCATCTCTCTGGAGTCACTGGGCTCAGTCAAGCCCTGCTCATGGAGCAGAGTGTGCTCTGCTCATCACAGACAGCCCATGCCATGGGGACACTGTCACACTTCTGGAAATACAAACCTGGGCATTGGTAGCATCAGCCATTATTTACAGAATTCACAGAATCACCAGGTTGGAAGAGACCTTCAAGATCTTCAAGTCCAAACCATGCCCCAACATCTCAACTAAACCCTGCCACCCAGTGCCACATCCAGTCTTTTCCAAACACATCCAGGGATGGTGACTCCCACCTCCCCAGGCAGCCATTCCAGAACTTTATCACTCTTTCCACAAAAAACATTTCCTAATATCCAACCTGTATTTCCCTTGATGCAGCTTGAGACTTTATTTCTGCCTGCCTTTTTTATAAATGAGAAACTGCTCATTCTATTCCTTTTCAAGGGTTGGGCATCCCTTGCTCTCTCACCCCCTATGTGGATTTTGAGCTCCTGCACAGGGGCAGCCCCAGGGCAGTGCAAGGGGGTGTGAGCAGCAGGGGCTGGCTGGGAGCAGCTCAGCTTGGCACAAACACCACAGATAATCACATTTGACTCAGCCTACCCATCAAGCTGAGATCCCCTGAGATTTTGTCTCTGAAGACATGCCAGGCTGAATTCTCTGGTTCAGAGAAAGTCGGAGGTTAGAGAGGGGTCAGCTGTAATTTAAGCCTCTCTCAAAGTCCTGAGTGCAGTTTTCACTCACACAGCCCAGGACCAGGAGAATAAGCACAGGAAGGAGCCTACATGCAAGGAGGTCTCAATTAATGTAAAGACTGATATCTGCATGTCTTCTGAATTTTGTCAGCTGCTCAGGGATCCCTCTGGGATAGCACAGGGATGGGATGCCCCATGCAGAGTGCAGCCTAAGGCCATTGGCACTGCAAGGCAGTCCCAGAAACACCCCTGTGGGCTCACAGCATCTGCAAACAATTCCAAAGAGCTGCAACCATTTACCCTAAGGTGCCACTTGGTAAATATTTTTCCCCTCTTTTGGTATCTCTCATGTTGGAAGACTGCTCTGGACAAACACAGTGAAGATTTAAACCTCAGAAGGGAGAAAACCCATTTCAGTGGGAAGATCATCTTGGTCATTGAACAAGTGGGCATAAAAGTGTTGTGTATAAGTTTGGTCTGGAATTACCAGGAAATTTGAGGCATTTAGCTGTAGGATCAGACTCCAACAGCAGCAAGTGGCAGTGTCCTGCCAAAGGACACATTCTCACAGCTGATCAAAAATCCCTCAGTCACCAGAATGGAAGGTTCTGGCAAGTGTCCTGGGCTCACTTCTGTCTTAAAACCAAGAAAATGCTCTTGGAGAAGGCCTAGGAGAAGCTGACTTTCCTGGCAATGTAAGGACACCATTCCTGGAGCTGTCCTGAGGAATGGCTGGAATGTGGCACTCGGTGCCATGGTCTGCGTGACACGGCGAGGATCAGTCAAAGGCTGCTCTCAATGATCTCAGAGGTTCCTTCCAACCTGAACGATTCTGTGACAGCTCCCCCAGGGAAAGATGGGATGAGGGACATGTCTGTGCCAGGGATGGGCCACAGAAGAACCTCAGAGGTCCCTGCTGTCTCCAAGGACAGAACAGACACCACCCAACCCTACTTGCAAGGATGAGAGTCCTAGGAAAGGATCATGAACCACAAGGTGAGCCTCAAAGCTCCTGGAGGAGGAGTTAGCAGAGCCTGTGTGTCCTTCAAGTCCCCAGGCCCACGGGCTGTGCTCTCACAGCTGCCTGCTACACATCCCCAAGGAAAGGTCTAACCAGATGAGCAATAAGGCATGAGAGCAATTTTTCTTCCTCACTCAAACAGTGCAGGCTATTGCTGACACTGAATAGCCCTGGATCAGCAGTAAGGTGAAAATGTGCAACTTACAGAAAAATACAGGCACCTATTTCCTTTAAAACTAGAGGTCTAAACCTCCAAGTACCAAAGGTATTTTGCCCCTTTTTCTCATTAAGCTGTATAGCTCTCATCTTTCTGCTAATCAAAATGCTGTGCTGATTTAACAGTGTCACTGTGTTCTGTGAAAAGCTTAAGATAGCTCTTTTATCACCAGTTGGAACACCAGTGACTTGAAATTAGTTGTATACATGTAGGGGAAAACAGACTGTCTGTCCCTCTGCCAGAACAAACAACTCATCTTCATCTGACTGCACAGAGTAGGGGTAAGCAATCCGTAAGGAGGAAGAAGTTTTAGGATCTTAATAGCTGTGGGATGGCTGACTCAGCTTTTTGACATTCTGGTTAGAAAAAAAAAATTAAAAATCATGTAATCTATACAATTCCATCAGCTGAAAAGCAAACCAGCTCTGCAAGCAGGACACCTCATCCCCCTGTAAGAGTTCAGGTCTGTGTCCCCTTTTAGTCAGGCTTGAAAAGGCAGTGTGAGAAAGCAAGGTGAATTATTTGGGTTAGCTTTTATGCCTGGGATTGCTTTATGAGGCACACAGTTGTGCTAAGGAAAGATGTGTAAATCCTTGGGGTTGGGGATAGCAGCTGCCTCCTGCCCACACCTGCCACCCTGCTCCCTGCCCAGGCCTCCTCTTGGGAAAACAGGAAAGTTTATCTTCTACCTCTATCCCAATTGTTTCACTTTTTCTAAACTGAAAAAATAATATTAAAAATAAAATCCAGTTCTAGTAAGAAAACCAAACAAATCTGTTGTCATAGCAACAGAACCCCCCAGCCCCCTGTGATCACAGAGAATCCCTCAGGGCTCACCCACAAGGACAGGGATGGGCAGGGAGTGCTCCCACAGCTGGGGAGGGTTCATTTACACCATTATTCCAGGAGCTGCAGGCTCAGAGCCCTGATCCCAAAAGCCAGTGTCAAGTGGACACATGACCCAGGACTAGGAATGAAATAGGAAAATGAATGAAATTGGATCTGGTTTTCCCCATGTGGAAAGGGTCCAAGAGCTTCTG